CCACAGACTGGCTTCCCCCTTCATCCCTACAGACTGGCTTCCCCTTCATCCCCACAGACTGGCTTCCCCCTTCATCCCTACAGACTGTCTTCCCCGTCATCCCCACAGACTGGCTTCCCCTTCATTCCTACAGACTGGCTTCCCCTTCATTCCTACAGACTGGCTTCCCCCTTCATCCCTACAGACTGGCTTCCCCTTCATCCCCACAGACTGGCTTCCCCTTCATTCCTACAGACTGGCTTCCCCTTCATTCCTACAGACTGGCTTCCCCCTTCATTCCTACAGACTGGCTTCCCCCTTCCTCCCCACCGGCTGGCTTCCCCCTTCATCCCCACAGACTGGCTTCCCCTTCATCCCCACAGGCTGGCTTCCCCCTTCATCCCCACGGACTGGCGTCCCCTTCCTCCCCACATACTGGCTTCCCCTTTCTCCCCACAGACTGGCTTCCCCTTCCTCCCCACAGGCTGGCTTCCCCCCTCATCCCCATCGACTGGCTTCCCTTCCTCTCCACAGAATGGCTTCCCCTTCCTCCCCACCGGCTGGCTTCCCCCTTCATCCCCACAGACTGGCTTCCCCTTCATCCCCACAGGCTGGCTTTCCCCTTCCTCCCCACAGACTGGCTTCCCCTTCATCCCCACAGGCTGGCTTCCCCCTTCATCCCCACGGACTGGCGTCCCCTTCCTCCCCACAGACTGGCTTCCCCCCTCATCCCCATAGACTGGCTTCCCCCTTCATCCCCACAGACTGGCTTCCCCTTCATCCCCACAGACTGGCTTCCCCCTTCATCCCCACAGACTGGCTTCCCCCTTCATCCCCATAGACTGGCTTCCCCCTTCATCCCCACATACTGGCTTCCCCCTTCATCCCCATAGACTGGCTTCCCCTTCATCCCCACATACTGGCTTCCCCCTTCATCCACACAGGCTGGCTTCCCCCTCATCCCCACAGGCTGGCTTCCCTCCTCATCCCCACAGGCTGGCTTCCCCCTTCATCCCCACAGGCTGGCTTCCCCCTCATCCCACAGGCTGGCGCGATTCACGGACACAAACGCAAGGCTTTCATGCTGCAGTAAAAACACATTAGTCGCTTACCTCGCTCTAAAAGTGAATGTGTCCGCGCTGTCTACGCGCTAACCTTGATTCATCCTTTGAAAATAGAAATTCTCTCCCCATTTTCAACTAACCATGCGCAAATTCCTTTTACCTCCCATCGAAAAAAAAATGTCTACACACTGAACTTCAAAATCTATACGAATGACTCATAATGCTTAAAAAGACAGATAATAATTTTATATCTTCTACGAACAAAATTTAAAAAAACATTCGTTTACATCACTCTAATAAAAACTGTGTTTTCGCTGTCAACGTATACACACTAAACCCAATCCCCAACCCTACACGAATCATAATTCGTATTTTAAAATACAAAGAAACCCTTTACATCTTTTTGAAACTCTTTTACGCGTTCAAAAAACCGCCGCATGCATCTCGCTGTGGTTCCCTATGTGTCTGCTATACATGCCAGAGAGAAGCTAGAAACACAGAAGTGATGTTCCCACGGCAACGGCTGCTGCTGCCGTCAAACAAACAGCTCCGAGTCGGCGGCCACGGCGCTCGTAAACGACGATCATATCACAACGACGCCAGGCGAAGCAGACGAAACACGCAAAGCTGTGAAAATACGCAGCAGCAGTAGTAGGAGCAGTAGCCGCAGCAGTAGCAGTAGCAGTAGCAGCAGCAGCAGCAGCAGTATTAGCAGCAGCAGCAGCAGTAGCAGCAGTAGCAGTAGCAGTAGCAGCAGTAGTAGCAGTAGCAGCAGCAGCAGCAGTAGCAGTAGCAGCAGCAGTAGCAGTAGCAGCAGCGACACTATTCGATATATGTAATACACACGATACACGATACACGATACACGATACACGATACACGATGTAATATACACGATATATGTAATATATGTAATATGTAATATATGTAAGCACACACGCTGCAGTCTGCACTCCCCACCCCCTCCCACCCCCGCACTCCTGCTGTCTGTTTATGCTACACATCGCATCCCTGTGCTGCTACCCATCTCACGCCTTCACCGATCGTAAACGCTGCGGTATGCAACAACCGAGTGATGTGTGAACGTATAGTCATGCATAGGGCTGTGTGTGTATGTGTGTGCTAAGCGGACCGCTCTCGTAGCAAAACAAGCAGACGTGCCAAGTTCAGTCGATGGGTGAGTGAATGAATGAATGAGTGAATAAACTAACGCAGGACTGAATAAATGAATGAATGAATGAGTGTGGGAATGAATAAATGAATGAATGAATGAATACGTGTGGGAATGAATAAATCAATGAATGAGTGTGGATGAATAAATGAATGAATAAATGAATGAATAAATGAATGTGGGAATGAATAAATAAATGAATGAATGCGTGTGGATGAATGAATGAACTAATGAACGAAAGAATAACTCGATTGGAACAATTGATTGATTTTACCGATTGAACGATCAGTTGATCGATCGATCGATCGAACGAGCACACAAACAAACGAACGAACGAATGAGCATGAATCTATGAATAAGACCCATCCCACCTGCACCTCTATCGCACGGCCAGCACAAGCACGCGTAGATATTAAGCAATGCGACAAGCGTGCTTTCCGCACTCACAGCAGCTGTAGCGGTTGCCTAGGTTATAGCAGCTTCCTCATCCATCCAGCCAGCCAGCAACCCTGCACACCCCCCCCCCAAACGTGCCCCGAGCACACGCAACGCCTACGTGCGCACGCACGCACGCACGCATGCATGTGCACGTACATTCATCCACACATACATTCACACATATCATATACATATCTGACTATCCATACAAACATTTATCCATGGATATATCCATACATGGATATACACATACGACACTGTGCAGACAGACAGACAGACAGACAGAGAGAGCAGTACGGGTGCGGTGCAACAGCGGTGCATGCTGGCAGTGGTGTGTCCGTCCGCGTGGACGTCTCCAGCCATCAAACACCTGCTAACACAATCACAGAGACGCAGCGACGTAAGTGAACAAGCGAGACGCCCGCCCCGCCCCTCCTCCCGCGGGTTAGTCTGTGCAGCCGTGGGCGGGGGAGGGGGAGGAGGAGTGCTGCGTGCGGGGGGTCCTACCATCAGACTCAGCGATCTCTTCAGCTAGGTTGGTGTTGAAGTGTTCTTCGCTGCTAGCCGCACCGCCGTCCTGCACGCTCGGCTGCACGCTGTTCTCATCCCGAGCTAACGCTGCAAAGACACGGGAGCGCCGCATGAAATCCCCGGTGCAGCAGGGCATGTAACGACGTGCCATGACACGAAACGCCACGTAAAGGTGTGTGGCGTGTAGCGACACACCATGTAATGATGCGGCATGAAACGAAACGCCACGTAATTATATATTCATATAGCAATACATCCAATGAGAGAACTACCATCTTCTGAATGTCTTCTCGCCTCCAGTCCTTGGCCCTAGACATGACGATACACATCTAAAAAAATGCCACCTCGTTTAAAGTATAGGCTGGTCTGCATTTGCACCCCTTATAATGGCGTCAATAACAGCTCGGGAAAGCAGTAACTGTCAAAGCCTAGCTATGCTTGAGCTAAGAGGAGGGGGTCGAGTCAAGAGGACATATATACGATGGCAGTTAGCGTGAGGAATGTATTGTTAGTAGTCGTTGAGTCGTTATTGCGAGCAACAGCATTGGCAGCTTCGGCGGCCTGTGGCAGTAGCAACATTAAAAGCTAGACCAGCTTGTGCATACATCCCACACATCACACTAGAAGGGCGTTGGCTCGTGCGGCTACAGCTAGTAGATTCATTACACCATGTTCCGCGAAGATGGAGAGCGAGCGAGAGATGGAGAGAGATGGAGGGAGAGAAAAAGAGCGCGCGAGAAAGAGAGAGGGAGAAAGAGAAAAAGAACAGAGAGCAAGAGAACAAGAAAGAGAGAGAGAGCAAGAAAGCAAGAGAGAAACAGAGAAAGAGAGACGGGGTCAGGACCATTGCTGGATGCATGACAGCGACCGACTGCAGCTAGAGCCTACACACAGCCAACGCCTGCAGGAGGTGATCAGCAGGAGCGAATGCGAACTCATATAGCGAGCAAATAAATTATCAGTTACACGAATGCGGTGCGCAGTTTGCATGGCTTCGTTCACTAAATGCTGCTCATGCATAATTAATAGAGTTACTATGTATCAATGCGCGCGAATTAGACCGTGCAATAAACGCTTGAATGCGGAGGCGATTCCGCGCAGCACAGTGTCGCCATCTATAACAATGCGAGCACAAACACCTCGTATTTTTTACATTTTTACATAAATGTGATTTTTGGCATTTAATTGTAATTCATATTTTTTATTTGTATTTCTTTTAGTTTCATGCTATTGTATGTTTTATTTCCTATAGTATTTGCGTATCAATTGCTAATTGCGCTATGGGGGGAAAGCAGTGAAAAATATACCATAGAGCGAATAGAAAATTTTCCACTCAGCGTGCGAGACGACACATAGTTACCATTAATAATAGGTATCATTCATGCGTAGAGTGAGGAATATTAATGACTGTATACGTATCCATGGCCGCAGCAGCGTCTGCTAGCTGACGGATAGAAACGATGAGAAATAAATGATGGAATTCCGATAATGATCCGAAAATAACACGTGCGAGCCAACCACAAAAGAGTTGTTGTTCGTCGATGCGTTACTCCTGCATTAACCAGCAAAACATTATTCGTGCGTTCTCGCAATAAACGCGCTAACTATTTATCCCGTGCGCGCATGACTTGAAAGAGGTGTGGACAATGTGCTTTTCTTGTAATGAGCGCGAGAAGGCAGTGAAGTGTTTTCTTGACTAGCTGGCTGCCCGCTGGCCCCTGGAACGCCTGCTCGCTCATATACCTACAATGAATTGTTCGCTGAAGGGCGGCTAGCGGTTGTAGGTTTTGCTCTGACGCGTGCTGTGTTTTTCAACACATAGTTACAGATATGCGGTACGCATGCATCAACGGGGAAGCTTAAGAAGCTGCTCCACCTCCTCCTGCATCTCCTTCTCCTACTCCTCCACTTCTTTTTCATGTTCTACTTTTTCCTCATTCTCCGTTTCCACCTCCCTTCCTCTCCCCTTCATGCACCACTCCTCTTTTGCTTCCCTTCCTCCTGCCCCTCCTTCACCTCACTCTTTTCCTCCTCTTCCTCCTCCTCCTGCTCCTCCCTTCCTCTTCCCTTCATGCACCCCTCCTCTTTTGCCTCTCTTCTTCTTCTTCCTGCTCCTCCTCCTCACCCTCTTCCTCCTCGTCACCCTCTCCCTCCTCCTCCTCCTCCTCCTCCTCCTCCTGCTGCCTTCCTCTTCCCTTCATGCACCGCTCTTCCTTTCTCACTCCTTGCACAGTTGAAAAACGGCAGGCGTTTATAAAAAGCGGCATGCGACGCGAGGCGTGTGTTTGCGGTGGAATATATTTGCTGTGTGCACCAGTAGTTCGCTGATGCAACCCGTGCTGCGCCTCGACTCACACGAGAAACACGATGAGAACGGCAAACAAGCGCGCGGCTCTTCGTCGCCCTCTCCATCACGGAGCGACAGATCACTACAGCACACCTGTATATCAGGAGTAGATAATAGGGAATTCCCTATTATCTACTCCTGCTGTATATGTATATGTATATGTATATGTATATGTATATGTATATGTATATGTATATGTGTATATGTATATGTATATGTGTATGTGTATATGTATATGTATATGTATATGTATATGTATATGTATATGTATATGTATATGTATATGTATATGTATATGTATATGTGTATGTGTATATGTATATGTATATGTATATG